CACTAGCGGTCTGCACCTCTACCGTGTACGCCCTAGTCACTCTTTCAGTGGTAGCGGAGCAGTGATCCTGGAAGACCCAGGTGAGCTCCTTTCCTAGGCATAGACTTGCTAGTGGGCAAACAGCCATGGATTGGATAGACGACTGGGAAGAGCCTGATGCGGATGTGGCTTATGAGCCAGCAGCCTATGTGAATAGGCATGTGAGAAGAGAACCAGCAGCAATAGCAATGACAACACAGGTCACTACAAAGGCGCCCCCATCTTATGATGGAAAGACTTCATGGTTTTCCTATGAGGATGCCATAGACGATTGGTGTGATATCACCGAGCTGGAAGATGAGAAGAGAGGACCAGCATTGAGAAACAGATTAGAAGGAGAAGCAGCTGTATACAAACGTGTATTAGACAGAGATGCATTGAAGGCGAATGATCCACCAGGAGCTGGAGTAGAATACTTCAAACGAGTACTACGTCCATATTTTGTGAAAGGATCAACCAATGTATTCCTGTATAGGTTTATGCAATTCGTGCGCTTCAACCGGGGATCAGCGGACATGATGAAATGGATGACAAGATTTCAGATTTTACTCCAAAGGCTTATGAGCAGTTGGATGGACATGTTAGAGCCAGTCACACAAGCACATCCTCAAGTCCTAGCTCAGATGCAGGCTGATGCAGCGTTGACTGGAGTAGCTCCAACGGCAGAAAGGATTCAGGAAATCATGCAGACCATCAATGGCAATATGAGAACTTTTCATCAGAACGATTTTCCTTTGGGAGAAAATCTGATTGCCTTACTCATGCTGTCACTTGCAGATTTGTCTCAGGACCAGCGAAACACTTTGACTTCTTTGATGACTCATCGTGGCAGGGTCCTGCAGCAATACACCACAACAGAGTTGAGGACAGTATTCATTGAGATGTTCTGCGCAACAAAGACTTCAGTAGACAATCCTTTGATGCAGCCGACAGGTGCTGGAGGTAGAAGATCATTTCTCGTACTAGACGAAGGAGAACTCGATGGTACATTTGGCTATTGGGCCGAAGATGAAGAAGATGGAACAGAAGGATTCCTAGATGCCCTGGACGATGTCTTTTGGGTATATGATGAACAGAATTTCTCTTGGTTCCAGAGGAGATTCCAAGGAAGAAGAGCCAGAAAAGGCAAAGGAAAAGGAAGAAGAAAAGGAAAAGGAAAAGGAAGATCAGGCCGCAGATTCTTCAGACCTCGTGGAAAAGGAAAAGGAAAGAGACGAGGAAAAGGCCACTATGCTGATGAGCAACCGCCAACTTTTCCAGATGAGTATTATGAAGAGAATCCTTACGAGGACACTTGGGAGTCAAACCAAGTAGCATATGATGCCATTCTTGCCGAAGATATGAATGACTATCTTCAAGGAGAATATGATGATGCCAATGACTTTTGGCAACAGCTTGAAGAAGCATGGTTTTCCCACAAAGGAAAAGGAAAAGGCAAGAGAAAAGGCAAGAAAGGAAAAGGAAAAGATAAAGGAGATGGCAAACAAGATGCAAACTATGCAAATCAACAACAGCCACGTTCTTTGCCTGCACCTTCAAGATCTTCACAAGCATCAGGAGGTCAACAAGGTTTCTTTGCACATTGTGTGACAGCAGCAGCTGAAGTCCATGACAGTGAGGTGAACTTGCTGTCAGGCATGATGACCTCATGTCAAGATGAAGCTGACTGCGCGGTCAACAATGGTACTCTTTGTCAACGGAGATGCTCACAAAGGCTCCTGATGGCTTTGCGCTTATGAGCGCTGAGGAAGAAGTGAAGGAGATGCAGGCCATTTCATTTTTGACTGAGAATCGCTTCCCGCCGACTATTGCAATCCTGGACATTGGATGCACTAGAGCTATGGGATCAAGGCGAGCAGTCGACCATTTTTGCAACTATGTCGACAATCACCCAGATTGTGGATTATGGTACTCTTTTGAGGCTACCAAGAGCAAGTTTTACTTTGCCAATTCCCAGAAGGCTACTTGCTCTCAGAAACTGGTGATTTACATGTATGATCGTGCATGGACGATCCACCATACAGAGTTCGACATAGTGGAAGAAGGAGAAGTCCCTTTGCTTATGAGCTTGCCACAGATGAGAAACTTAGGCTTTGAACTCAGGCTGACACCTCAACATGCTTACCTGACATCGGTGCCTCTTGGTATCAAATATTTGGAGTTGAAGGTTGCAGCCAGTACTCATCTTGTCTTGGACTTCCAAGATATTGCATGGTATCTGTCTGACGTGAATTTGCAGACTACTTCACTCACTATGAATATGGTCATATTTCTGTTGATCACAATAGTGCTGAAGATGAAGCTGAGCATGCATATCCTGTGGTTGACTACTGGGAAGTAGATCTTCACAAGAGAGAACTGACACGTCACCACAAGGATTACAGGAAGATTCTTTTCCCAGCAACTAAGTCCTGTCCTGTAGACACTGACTTGCTGGAAGACTTGCGACTGACAATCATCAAGAAGAAAGAAGGTGGAAAAGAAATCAAGAAGCAAGATGATTGGCGCAAGGCAAAATGGAAGGACCTACAAATTGGCTATGAATGGCGTGGTAGAACAATTTTTAAGTTCAAGCCAGATGCCAAAATTCCCGATCTAAAGATCAGGAAGGCTGGCATTGAGCACCGTGGCATTGGTGATCCCGATGCAGTGGTGCGCTCCTCCTCAGAGAAGGTTCCCATTGCAAAGGACAGGGAACCAGGCTTCTCATCAGAGAAGGAAGGTGCACCATCCAGTGCCGCGGAAAAGCCCGTGCCGCCAAAGTTTCGGTATACTTCCAAGGGTTTTGATCCATTTTGGAAAGGACACAAGTCAAAACCATCTGAGCCTCCAAAGGATTTAAAGGGTGATGATCCTGAGGGTTATACTCCTTCAGAACCACCTGAGAGGCCAGAAGGTGAACTTGTAGAAATTCCTAAAGCATCAAAAGGACAATCAAGTGATAAACATGAACCACTTGAACCAGGTGATGGCACTCTTGAGCCTAGGCGGATTTCAAGCCCATTACCTGGTAGTGAAGTTGTTGCAATGACACCGGCATATAGGAAGATGTTGCAGAGACTGGAGGACAAGGTAGAGCTTTATAAGCTTCATGTGAAGCACTACCATATGAGTCCTACTCAGTTTCGTAGGCGTGTTTCTATGTTGAAGCTTCCTGACTCTGTTTTAGAGAAGTATGAATCAGTTGTCAGGAACTGCCGTGTTTGTAACACTTCAGTGGCACCTCCGCCACGAGCCAGAGTCTCCGGTATTAGAGCTTCATGTTTTGGTGATGTTGTTTTTGCTGATCATTGTGAGGTTGAACTTCACAAGAACAAGTATATCATTTTACTTGTTCTTGATGGTGCCACAAATCTTCTCTGGGCTACGGCACAGAAAGACCTCATAGATCAAACCACCATCCAAGCATTGAGGCAGTGGTCTGATGAGAACAACTGTGTTCCGAAGGCCATCGTAGGAGACGAAGCCTTTTTCACAGATGCTTTTGTTGAATACTACAGGTTTCATGGTATACAACAATGTCCTTGTGGACCAAGAACTCCTTGGCCAAACCGAGCAGAGACAGCTGTACGTTTGTTCAAACGTATGTGGCATGTTATGAAGGTAGATCTGGATGACCCACGTTTTCGTGGTGTTACGGTCAGAGAAGTGGTCAAGAAGGTAGTTTGGGCAAGAAATTGTCAGTTGACTATCAGTGGATATTCACCAATAGAGATAGCAACTGGAAGACGTCCACCAGATCTTTTTGACCTTGAGACCGCAAGCCCTGAGCAATTGTCAGCTAATGCCGCCGCACAAGATCGTACAAATTTGGAACTACAACGTGTGGCTTTGAGAGCTCATCAAGAAGCACGACAAGCTCAGGACCTTCGAGCAGATCTTGCAAGAAGGACTATGCCAAGTGACGGTCCTTATTTCCAAGGAGAGAAGGTTTTTGTTTGGACTCAGGATTCATCAAAGTTCAAGGATAAAGGACGTTGGGTTCGTGCCACAGTACTTGGACAAGAAGGAGCTATGGCCCAAGCCAATACTGGTAAGGCAGTGATACGTGTGAATCAGTCAAAGGTTAGACGCGATCACGATGAGTGGCATGATGTTTCCATACCGGCATTAGACGATGAGAATCCGGAGAACTTACGTGAAGATCACGAACTGTATGTTGATGCCGAATTTGGAGAACAGTCCTTTTTCTTCTGTAATGATGATCATCCTGATGTTGTTGAGTTACTTCATGGAAACAGTGGATTATCTTGGTTCCTTTCAAAGAATGGTGTTAAAGTTGCATCTCCTATGGATTTCAAGGCAGGATACAACTTTTCCACTATGAAGGGTCAAGATGGTATTTGGCAGCAACTGGAGAGATTGCAGCCCCACTGTATAGTGATCAACAACCCTTCTCCCAAACAGAACAGAGCTTCTATTTGGTTGCTATGTTGTAATGTGATCGAGTGGCAGTTGAGAAGGAAGAAACATGTGTTTGTGACTGTTCCCAAGGGAAACAAGTTTTGTTTGTTTTTGCAGAAGTTCATTTCTTCGTTGAAGAATCCGATTTTTAACTTTGAGGTGAATATGAATTGTTTCTGCTATTGTCCTAAGGGAATGAGTTGCGTGACAGTCTTCCATTCCTATGCATCCTGCCAAGGATGGAAAGGTATTGGTGACTGTTCATTTCAAGCTAAAACAGTG